AAAGGAACGGGGGGCTCTCCCGAGCACCGTGGCCAAGAAAATCTTCAACGCTGCTATGGCCGCTCCCGCTCTCCACCGTCAGTTCATTCGGAACGCTACCGCTGTTCTGGTTTCCTACGTCTTCTTCGAAAGGGGTGAAGCTGGCGCCGCGCTTCGCATGGACAACATTCAGGTCTCGGAACAGTCAATTGACCTGGCAATCGCTTTACGGAAAAATCGGTCTCGAGTGGCACATATCCTCTCCTACATTAGACTATCTCCAGACAAGCCTTCGCTCATCAACTTGGTCTTACGATACGACCGTTACCGCCGGAACACCCGCTCCATCAGTCGCTACTATTGGGCCCTCCCGGGTCAACGGCTCACACCGTCCTCGGCAAGCATTTCCCGCTGGCTCCAAGCTTGCCTGTCTCACGCTGGCGTCACACCACCTCCGCAAGTCTTGTGGTCATCGCACTCGCTTCGCATGGGTGCCGCATCGGAATGCGCTGCAATAGGCGTACCATCCTACCGCATTCGCATCTGGGGGATTGGAGTGTCGCTCGCACAATGGAAGAATCCTATCTCGACGCTCGCGTACAGCCGTGCGAGGATTCCGTCTTCTTTTTCGGACACCTATCCGAAATCTCGACTACTCCCTATGGAATTTCTCAACACTATTCAGTGCATTCATTGACAATTGAAATGTGAATCTGGACAAGAGGGCTTTTCGGTTGAACGCGCAACGACTCTATGGAAGGGAAACATGGCCAAAAACACTTTCCGGACAGTTTGTACTTTAGCGTTCAAATGGACCGTTTCAGCCGGACCGTTTCAAGTTACCGTTGCACTAAGACTTGGAAAACGACTAGGAACCGTTACTCTTCTTCGTTCGCGTAACGAGTTCGCAGAGGCATTGGAAATCGGCCACCGGCCGAAAACAGGGCTGTATAAAGAGAGGCACTCAGATCTCTCTGGCCTCTCTTCTCTCTTCTCCAAGTCGTCGCTGGTTCTCCCACCTCCCGCCCTCAACTCCGCCGCTCAGTCATCAAGTCATCACTGGTTCTTTCTTCCTTACTCTTTCCTGCGTGGCTTAACCATTCAAGACTCTTTAACCACGCGCTCGGTAAGGTAACGCGATCTCCCTTCGCTGCTTACGCCCTCTTACCCCGAATCTACCCCTTGTCTTGAAGCTTACCAAAGGAGAACTCGAACTCATGTGAGCCACGAACGCGAGCCCTAATAAACGCCGAAGGTGGTCCTCATCCGCCCGAGCGGGTAGTATCGCTGGGATAGCGGTGCGGAGGTGGCGAGGGACTCGTGCCACTATGCTGCTTTGGCCGTTGTTTCAACGTTTGTGTCCACAGCAATGGGGGACAACGAAAGACAGGGTAAGCATTCGGGTAATCAATCGGACTGTAAGCATTTTTCAGACCGAGGATCTTTAGGTAATTTAAGGTTTACGCAGCAAGAATTTCACAAATGATTGTGACGAATAGAGGTATGATAAGTAACATTGACATTTCTGAATTTCACAAATTGAAGGTATACCGAGAAGTGTTTACGCCAAGCATCAAGCACCATCACATGAGTATTATCACGTAGCCAAATTTTGCAGCCCAACCCACAGCTCCTCAAACCGCCATGTCCCTCGGACGACGAAAGGACCACAACCCCCAGGCCGTTTGCTCGCGTATCGCCGGGTGGACTTCTCTGCTACCCTCGATCTTCAAGAAAAGAACTCAGACCCAAGCTCCGCCCTGTCATCAAACTTCATGTTGCCGGTTTACTGCTCACACTACACAGCAGCTGCAATGATCGCGAGAAAGTGTGTCGTTCACGCGAGATCAGCTTGACCTTTGTTGATCATCGATTTGACAACTTCTCTGACGATGTGTTGCTGGCCCTGTTCCGGTTCAAGCGAACCGATATCGTTCGAATTGTGCAATACGTGGCGTGGCCAGCAGAACAATTTCAGACACGCCGGAACCACTACGGAACAAGCCCATTGTTAGTAACTTGCGTCATTCTGCGCCGTCTTGCTTCGCCGAACAGATGGAGAGACCTGGAAAGACTTTTTGCTCTGCACACACCGCATCTGTCAGAAATATTTTGGGAGGGGCTTTCTCAATTCGTGTCGGTGCGTGTTGATCTAGTCATGGGCAATCTACACAAGCCCTTTTGGCAAACTCGTTTCGAGGAGTATGCAGAAGCTGTGGGTATTAAAAGTCAGGCGCTTGAGAATGTTGTTGCATTCATCGATGGAACGAACTTGGCTTTAGCTCGACCAAGTGGCCTGGATATCGATCAGCGTGTTGCTTATAGCGGGCATAAACGGAAACACACTATCAAATTTCAGGCCTTAACTACACCGTGCGGTCTCGCTATGCATCTGTCTGGTCCTTTAGAAGGCCGGCGTCACGATTGGACTACGTATATGCGAAGCGGGCTTGACTCTACACTACAAGAAGCCTTTTTCCATCTTAACCGGAAGTTTGTGGCCTATGGGGACTCTGGTTACAGCTCAAGAGTATTTTTGTTCGTGCCCTTTTCGGGATCTAATCTCACACCAGGACAAAGGACCTTTAACACGGCCATGTCGAAGTCTCGCGTGACGGTTGAGTGGTATTTTAGAGAAATTAAGAGGTACTGGACGTTTGTGGACTTCAAGGGTATGATGAAATTGAAGGAAAGCGCGGTGGGGATGTTGTATACCGCAGCTGTTCTTCTCACCAACGCCCGTAACTGCCTTCACCCAAATGCTATTTCGCAATATTTTCACTGCGCACCTCCTGCCCTTGAGGAGTACATGATCCACCGGGATGATGCCTGAGCCACAGAGTGCAGCGCCAGAGGGCTTCTAGCCCCCTTCATGGACACCGCCCCTATGGAAGGGGGGACCAATACGTGTTCGTGGCGTCGGCGTTCTGGCGTTTGCGCATCGACCGCATGTAAGACAACCGGATCGACGTTGGCGTCGCCATGCCGTACGCTTTTCGCTTCGCCACGGCCGAAAAATGGTCATCGTGGAGCCTCGATTGATTTGGAAGATTGTCGCTCGCGGGGGAGAGGCTCGCTTACTGCCTCCATGGAGGCAGATGCGCGAAGGGGGTGTGAGGGGCGTGCTGTATGATGTGGAGGGGAGGCGGCTATCGTTCCTGAACAATGGGGCGTGTAGGGGCGATGTGGACGTGCACGGCTTGGGTGAGGGCAGGGTGTTCTTGGGGACGTTCGTGTACTGGCCGTACCACGAGGGTGAGTCCGTGACACTGGTAAAGGTTGGGGCTGCGGTGAGCGTGGCGGCTGTGCTCGTCGAGGCAACGGTGTGAGGAGGGCTATGAGGTTGGCATGCGATGGGCTCGTGATCAACCAGACGTGGGAGCAGCGGTTGTGGTACGTAATGCGGGTCGACGAGGTCAAGTGCGGGAGTAGGTGGTATGTAGGGCAGTTTGATACTGGAGAAACGTTTACTCGCTGAATACTCCGGTTACTCGTTTGTTTTCTTTGTTTGCTTCTGCGAGAGGAGCGTCGTTACCAAAGAAAGTACGGCTTGCATTTGATTCCCTGTTTGCTCCATCAGGCCGCTCATGGAGTCGCGATAAGCTACGAGCTCGGTTGCGCGCTACGCGCGCTCTTCAGCCCTTTCCTTGCGGTCCTTCTCGCGCTAGTCCAATTCATGTGTAGCTCTCTCGCGCGCGAAGCCTAACTTCTTTTGCTCCATGTCGAACCTGGCCGCCTCGGATTCGCAAAGTGCGAGCCCTATGGATTGCATGCCATCACCCAGAGCCAAGCGTCGTTTTTTCGAAGGGCCCTCCTCGTCCAAACTCATCTTCTTTTCACGTCTTTTGTTACCACACAGTGCATTGAGCACTAAATCTTGTCCTGCAGCGATCTCCTGACGCTCCTGATCAGCACGTTCCTTCATATCTCCATCCTTTCGGGCCGCAAGGTCCCTCTTTGCTTCTAGAATGTCCCCCAATAGCTCATCGAGCCCCCATATCTCATCTCCAACACCAAAACGAACACTGTCTTGCCCATCGCGCTTGGCGTACTGGTCGAACAGCTTCTTGAATCTGTCTTGAATGTGTTTTCCCGTGACTTTGTGCGCGAAATTTGGGTTTGCGTTGGCTTTCAAAGCCGCGGTCTCGAAGCGGGAGAGCGTCTCTCCATGCGGGGCTACATGTGCCTCGGAGGCGAAGACTTCTTGCGCGATAATTAGATCTTCTGTGCCCGTAAATTTGGACTTGCGACCCGGCTTGGACTCTCGACGAAGAATGTCTGTAGGGGTGGAAACAGGCGTCCCTCCTGGTGACTTCTCGGGGGTGCCTGGAACGTCCTCAGGGGAAACAACGGTAGCCATGGCGCGAGGGGAGCAGAGGCTGGTGTGTTTTTTGGCGTGTGCTGGTTTTGATGTGTATGCAATTGGTTTCCGGCCAGCTGTGTTTGTGAAACGACTTTACAAACGCATCATATTTCACGATTGTTCGCCAGGCTTCATTTGTGAATTTCACAATTGGCTTTCACACGTGGACAGGTATTGAGAGAAAAACGAAATTCATTCACCATATTTTGATTGCGTAAATACTCTATTATTAAAGCGTAATCTTGTTTCTTCAACACTATTCATGTAAAAAACTTTGACTTAATTTCCAAGTGGACCAATTAAGAGTGTTCCTGATTGGGGAACAATCAACATTCGGCATGAAAACTTACGCACTGCAACACCTGTGTGACAGAACCTGTCAGAATCAGCTCTCACTGGCTGTTAAAATGAGCGCAGACGTTCGTTCCATATTTTTAGTTTAATGTTAACCATACAAAAAAATTCTTCACAAAATGTAACTGTGCTCTGAAAACCGATCCTGACGTGAACTGTATGATCCCAAAATATCTGCGTTAGACAACCTCTGCATTATTTTGAAGTCTTTATCGCAACGTTGACCATTGACACTCTTCGGTATTGAACATCGGACTTCCTTGTCTGCAATCCTGATCGCGTCGGATCCTCAACACACCATAGCACCTTCCGATCCACAATGAAGGCTTCAATTCTCGTTACCATCTTTGGAGTATTGTTCTCGCTTGCAGCTGCCAAAGTCGGGCCGAAGGTTACCGATAAGGTTTTCTTTGATGTTACAATCGGCGGAAAGCCAGCAGGAAGACTTGTCTTTGGTCTCTTTGGCGCAACAGTCCCAAAAACTGTTGATAATTTTAAGGGACTGGCGCTGCATGTAAAAGGCTTCGGCTACAAGAGCAGCATTTTCCACAGGGTGATCCGCGGTTTTATGGTGCGTCCAAATGAAGCCAGCAACTTTTGTACGATTTGGCGTGGCTAATGTCATTTTCATTGATCTCAGCCATGGTCACTAACTGAGATTGTCATTTTTCCGATTATTTATGGGTTCTACTTCTAACATCTCACAGGCACAAGGAGGTACGATTGCTGGGAGATGAGAACATGCCGAATATCTGGCAATGGAGTTGCTGCTGAGAAACTGACTTTTTTCGGATTGTGTGCAATGCGGACCTTGCAGGTGACTTTGAGAATCAAAATGGTACTGGTGGTAAATCAATCTACGGAGAAAAGTTTGACGATGAAAACTTTAAGCTGAAGGTATGCGAAAAACAGAGTGGATAACATATTGCGTTTGAAGAGTTTACCGGTATAATTGCATAGACTGACACATCATTTTCCCATGACTAACCCTCGTACGTACAGCACACAGGCCGTGGCTTTCTTTCTATGGCCAACGCTGGCCCAAGCACTAATGGCTCTCAATTTTTTATTTTGTTCAAGGATACTCCCTGGCTGGATGGCCGCCATGTCGTGTTTGGCACGGTGATTGAGGGGCAAAATGTTCTTGACGCGATTGAAAACGTCAGGACGAACAGCAGAGATCTTCCTCAGGAGGAGATTGCCATTGCTGATTGTGGTTCTATTGACGTCGACGAGCCCTACAACCTCGAAGTGTGAGCCTGTGAGTCTCGGCCACAAACGGCAGACCCAACAGAAGGACTTTCAGCTGGCCTGCGCCTCTTTCATAGGTAATAAACGCATTCACCCAAACTCTCATCTGTGCAAGCTTCTGAAACGCACCCTTTTTTAATGAAATCCGCCTACATGCCGCACAAATGGCGATTCGTCCATTTAAATGGTGGAAGAGGGCGGGGGGTGTACGGGAATTATCTTTGTCGTAGGTGTTTCTGCGAGACGAGGTATTATGAGTCCCAGAACCGACAGCGATTTATGTCATAAGCTGTTAGCGAGTAGTTTTATAACGCTTCACCTGGTCCAGGAGCTTTCGAGCCGCTGGATCATGTTTGAAATGGTCACGAACAGGTTGTAGCATGACGTTAACTGCTTTTGCTACTGCAGGCTTTACGTCACCTGGGTGCAAAGCCCCTGACATAAAATCGGCTTCAAGCTCATCGTAGGATGAGAAGGATTTATTTCCGCCATTCTCTTCAGACCTTGAGATTTCAAGGGAGCCGAGTTTAGGGAATATGAGGTATTTGAGGTACTCCAAGACAGGGTTCCCTTCGACTGTCTTTTCGGGACAATAGGCGCCCTTGATCTTTGATTTAACCTCCGAAGCCGAATCTTCCATGTATATCGCGCTCGAGGGGTCGCTCTTGCTCATTTTAGCCTGTCCCTGTTTCAGTCCTGGCATCATGTGGTGGGACAGGACTATGGGTTTGTTCTTGAGTTTTGGTTTGGTGCTGTCGCAGTACTCTCTTGCCAACATGTTCACCTTTCGTTGATCCATGCCCAGCTGGCAAATATCAGCTTTCAAAAAGAAAATGTCCGCGCACTGCATGCATGGGTACATGATCTGAGCTGCAGAAAGTTCATCGCCATCTCCCCTTCCCATAATTGTACAGCAGCGCTTGACGCGGGCGACTGAATTCAAGGTGGCTATGTTCATCACCCTACTCCAGTACTCGTCAGGTCGCTTGTTGATTTCGTCAGACGCCCAGAGAAATTCGACATTATCCATGTTCATGCCGCATGCTTTCCAAACTTCGATAAAGTATTGTCCAACGACTCGGATCTTCTTCAGATCGCCCCCCATTTTGTTGTTCAGCTGGGCAAACCAGTCAGCAACCCAAAATACAAATGTACATCCCGCATTAGTGAGCTTGTTGACATTGATGGATTTCTGAATGCCCTGCGCGATATGCATTCGGCCGGAGGGCTCGAACCCGTCGTAGCAAAGTGGTGGTGTCGGCTTTTTCTCTAGTAGCCGTCTGAGACCCTCCTCTGTGTGGCACTCCTCGCCGACAGACTTGATGAGCTCAATCCTCTGGTCTATTGTGAGCCCGTTGACGAGGCTAACCTCCGCAACTTCTCTGGTGAGGTTTTCCATTTCGTTGGTATTCGTGGCAGGAGCGGGGAGGTTCTCTTGTGAGTCCGTCATGCTGCACAGGAGGCGAGGAGCGCGGGATCCTTCTAATCTCCCCGATTTCTTCAGCACTGCAGAAGTGGGTGATCGATGACGTAGTAACGGTAGCGGAATGACGTTTCAAGGTTCGGACGCCGCCGACAGCAGCTAAGACTTTCAACGCGTGAACAACACCGCGGCTTCCGCAGAGATGCGTACGATGCTGTGCTGTACTGTACCCTGGGTACTTATGAGAGGTTTCTCATTACAGTTATGATAATGTAAGTATTTTGGAGAGACTACGTCATTGGCTGCGTGTCATCTGCTCACCAAGAGTGGGATGGGGGCCATTTGTTGTATCACGAGCTGCAGCCATGCCATTTGCCAGGGCTGTGGCGTACTTTTCCCAACATCGACGTTTAGCACCTGGACTGCAATCGGTCAAGACGAAAATGGACGCACTGGACTGCTAACAGGGATGCTATCTGCAGCTGAACATAGATTGCTGCTATTTGGCTGTTCCACGCCATGTCCGACCTTAATAATAGAGACTGAGTACGATCTTGGAGACCTTGCGTGTTCCGGTTCTAAGCTATTAGCTGTTAGCTGGGGCCAAGCGTCTAGACACGTGATACACCTGTATTGATATTGTCATACTACATTGTTTTTTGAATTAAAATTTGCATCACATGAGGGCCATTGCCTCTTGTCGATTCTCTAGTCTAGAAGCAGGTAGAATCCGCCGTCGGATCACGGGGCCGCTTTTTGAGCCCATGCCCGTGTTGCCGTCTGCGAGTGTTTCTGCTGTAGATTTTGTGACGCAGTGAGTGCGAATACTACAAAGAAGGCAGAATGTTTAAGAACATTACCGGCTCGAACGCAGCCGGAAAGAATAATGCCACTTCAGATGAGTCGTTTTCGGGAACTGTTGATCCAACCGGTTTGGAGCGGGCGGCCAAAGCAGCACGTGATCTCGACTCCTCGCCCAATGCGCAGGCCTCACTTGCCTTAGTTCGCGAACAAGAAAAGACAAAGCAGTCTGAGTTTGAAGCAAAAACGGCCGAATTGCGAGCCTATGAGGCACAACAACGCGAAAAGAATATTGAGGTTCAAGCTGAACAGCAGAGGAAGACGATTGAGAAACAGGCTGAGTATGCTCGCGGACAGGAACATTACAGGGACAAGCTAGAACGGGAACGACAAAAAGATACCCTCGGTATGCAAATGCAGGCCCAGAGGCAAATGAAAGAGGAGGAGCGCAAAAAGGACGAGGAAAGTGTTTTGAGGCAAGAGGCCATTCGTCGGAAGACTGTCGAGTATGAAACTGCCCTACGTCAGCAAGCTGATAGCGCCAAGGCTAAAGCCGAAGCAGAAGGGCGTATTGAACAGGAGAGGAGGAATCATGACTTGATCATGCAGCAGAAAAGGCTAGAGTTGAGGGAAAGTCGAAAGACTACTCTTGAGGGGATTAGGGTTGCGACGAGCAGTATTGGAGCTGGACTCTCATCTTTTGTTTCTGATCGCGAAAAAGTGACAACAGCTGTCGGTGGCCTTTCCTTGGCTGCCCTTGGTATTTACTCTGCTCGAGCAGGCGCCACTGTCATGGGAGGCTACATCGGGGCTCGTCTTGGGAAACCCTCTCTTGTTCGTGAAACAAGCCGAATCACCCCCCTTTCTGCAGTTCGAGAGCCGATTGCAACTGCCAGGAAAGTCTACGCCCGTTTCAGTTCTCACAATGCGGACCGTGCGTTAGATGGTGTCGTATTAGCGTCGCCAACTAAGACTCGGCTGCAAAGAATAGCGCGCGCTACGAAGAACTCACGCAAACACCAGGCACCTTTCCGAAACGTCCTTTTGTCTGGACCCCCGGGAACTGGAAAGACTCTTTTTGCAAAAGGACTTGCAAAAGAAAGTGGACTTGAGTACGCAATTTTCACTGGCGGTGACCTTGCTCCGCTTGGGTCGAGTGCCGTCACCGAGCTTCACAAAATGTTCGACTGGGCCCAAACCTCCAGAAAGGGGCTGTTGTTATTTATTGATGAGGCAGATGCCTTCTTGCGCACGAGGAGCTCTGCAGCGGGGGCTACCGAAGACATGCGGAATGCGCTGAACGCATTTTTGTACCGCACTGGTCAGCCCACGACACGATTTATGCTTATGATGGCCACTAATCGTCCGCATGAATTTGACGAAGCTGCAGCGGATCGAGTTGACGATGTAATCCCATTTTCTCTTCCAGGCCCGGAGCAGCGGCGGGAAATGCTTAACCTTTTCGTGAATCGCCTGATACGCCGTCCAGCCACCCCGATAAAACTTCTAGGCGATGAGCCTTGGGACCAGTTTTGGGATGAGGCTGTTGGTGGAACGGAGCACTTCAGTGGACGTGAAATGGAGAAACTTGTCATTGGGTGGCAGGCAGCCGGGTACGGAAACCCAACGGCTGAACTCGCTGTAGACGAGGCGAGGCAGGTGTTGCGCGACCATGTGCATCAGAAGGATATGAAAGAGTCATGGGCACTTTCTCAGCGACAAGAGGGTAACAGACCTCCAGGGTACCAAGGTTCTCGGTCTGTGGAGCGGACAGGCGCGGATGCAAACAGAGAGTTGTATACGGCTGCTTAGATCCCCTCGTTCAGGAAGATATAGGAAAAGCCTCTACAGTGAAAGGGATTTCGGGTTGACGCAAAGGGGTGGCAATAGGTGCTGTAACGATGTTAGGCAGTTTTGTAGGGTGCACTAATATAATACTACACATTTGACAATCTCGAGCCTTTCCGGGCCGACATATTGATACCAGAAGCCTCGCCTGAGTAGCTTGATCCGGGCTTGCCGTCGTAATCCTGTACTGCGCCCTTTCGGCGAACAACAGCCTTTGAATAGGCCAGACGATTCTTCGTACGAGGAGTCTTCTTGTCCTTCGGCCTGTATCTCGTCAGGCCCCTATTCTTCACAACCTGTGAGGAGGCTCGACGTCGTGCCTCGGGATCCATTTTATCCTTAAACGTGTAGACATGCGGTTTAGATTCCGCAGCCTTTCGAGATTTGCGGGCCTCCTTCTTCGCCTTGTTGGCTAGCATTTTCGCCATGACCCCGTCATCGTCTCGAATACTATCCATATCTGGGTCGTCTGGGTCCTCGAATGTGGAAATAGGAGTCATGAGTTTCTTCGCCTTCGGCTCTGCGCGCACGACATCCACATCACCAGACACCAACCTCTGACTAGCGGTGTTCTGGCGTTCGCGCTCCATAGCACCAACCAGCGCGCCAAGCTTCCTTCTCTTTTCGTCACGCATGTTGTTATCTCCGCTTTCTTGTTCTCGTCCTACTCCAACGCGAGAGGGAAGCAACGCTCGGATTCTCTCTTCGTCTTCCTCTACTACCAAATCGGCGACATTCCTGCGCTTCTTCCGCTTCTTGTTCTTGTCCAGAGGTTTCACGACACCGTTGGGAACAGCGACATTAACTTGAGCCTGAGTGCCTGGGAGACCATTGGCATGCGATGTTCCTGTTGTTCCTGACTGTTCACCTGCCACGTCAACAATCTGTGCTTGTGCTGTCGGTTTAGTTGTGGCTGGCTTTTCGCACGGAAGGGCCCTCGCGTCCTTAAGTAGAGATCGAATTCGAACAATTTGAACGAGGACGGGATGGGTTCGAATGTCCACCCCCTCTGAATCAGGGTCAGTTCGCAATGAAAGATAAAAAGCGATGTTGCTGACCAACGATGCATACAGATGGAAGAGAATCGTCGCTATCTCATTCCAATGAATGCGGTCCTTCCAGATCATAGCCTGTCTTCGGCTCTCCAGCATTTCCTGGATGAGAACAGGTATCTCAGGAGCGGCGTGGTCGATGGAGGATGCGGAAATAATTCCGTTCGCATTGATTGTTGCGTTTGCACCTTCTTTCTCGCTTTCGCTATCGTCGTTTACATCTGTATCATCTTCGTCTTCGTCGCGATAATCGTCAGGATGCAACTTTGCAACGGCCTCTTTCTGCAGACGCAGTGCTTCTTCTTCCTCGTCCTTCAACGCCTCCTGACGTTCTTCCTCCTCCATGATTTCGTACTCGTGTGTGTCACCGCCGTAGTACAAGCTCTTCTTCCCGCCCCATCCCCGCTTCTCCGCCAACTCCCTGTCATGATCCATGTCATCGCTTTCATCTTCGTCCGAAGAAATTTGGTCTTCACTTGAAATGTCCTCATTGAGCTGAGCGTCAGGGTCCGATTCTTGATCTGCGTCCAAATTGTGACGCTGATCTATGAAGTCGTCAACTTCATCATTCAGAGTGCTTCCCGGAAGAATGACCTCTGGTCGAATTGGGGCCCTTCGTTTTCCGCGGGCCATGACTATTGAAAAGGAAAAGAACAACTAACTACAAAGAGTTACTGAGGAGCAAGAGCCCTCCCTTCGCCTTTCCACAACTCAGTTGCAATCGGATGCGAATGCTTAAGTTTCGCGAGAAATGCAGGCGCCTGAGGAAGGAGGTAGGGCTATATAGATGCCGTAGATACACCTCGTCGTCGCCCGTACAGCAGAAGTACAGTAGATAATTTGACCTGCGCAATAAATGAATCCGTAACGCAGTACTTAGAAAGTAATCAAAATAATATAGAATCAAAATAATATTCCGTTTTCCGCTTACAAAATATATTCTGAATGAATTTTACGGTAATTTTGCAGGCGGCGTTCTCTGATACCCTGACGATTTTTATAAACACTGGTTGTCCCGATATGTGCTGAATAGGATTAAAACTAACGTAGTCGCAACAGGTCACGGGTGGCATACCGAGAAGTTCCACAACAATACGGGACAGTTTTTTTGTTGCTCTGATTGGCGAGGGGCACGCGTGTCGTTGCACACATCAGCAATAAATTACTTTACATGTGTACAAGACGGGAGGCTCTAGTGGTGACTATTCCGACGCAGATAGACTTGGATAGCTCGACACGTACTTTTCCACATGCCGGTGCATTGTTCATGTGTCGTGGCCAAAGTCATAGTAGTTGCAGTGGTCCCGATCCCCACAGTATCTCAAACGCTGTATTGGACGCAAGGAACACTCCCCCGAACTGTACAAGTACGTTGTAGACTACAACGTACTTGTGGACAACTTGTAGTGGACAACCACGGCCATGCCCATACACTTCACAATATTATACACTGATAGGTTTGCAAATTTTTGGGTTTCGCATTTCCACCACAATCTGCGGATTTTGCGACTTCTGTCACAGCTGTGTACTGTAAGGCTAGACACAGATGCGCACTCCGCATTTGGTTTGTTCCCAGCCGCAGGCTGGGAGCTGCAACTGCCGGTACTGTACTTGTAAAAAAGGCGTGATCGGTTGGCCAATACTGTAGTCCAAACAATTCATGCTTCACAACAGGTACCATTGCCTTCAGATGCTTGAATATATTTCAATACGCAGTTACTCCCCGCGAAGGAAAGCGTCTCAAATGGCACTCTCTCTGGGGTTGAAATAACTGCAAGCCGTCGAGCCGCAGAGCTTTATAAATTTGCACGTCGGCTCTGAACGATGTGCCAACAGCGAATAGGAAGCGCGGGAAACCCCGTAAAGTTTGGAAGTACTACAGTACAGGGGGGGGGTCGCGCAATAGTGCCACTTTGAGTAGTGCATCCCACGCATTAGTGCTATGCAAAACGCCTTGGCACGGTTATCATACTTCCTACACGTGTTCATACACGTGTGCCCCGCTGCACACGTCGCACAGCACGTAGCGCCGCATCACGCACAGCGGGCACGGGATCTGCTGCTTGACTTTGGCAGAGAACATCTGGGCGGGGCGCCGCAGGGGGGGAGGGGTAGAGCGAGTGCAAGGGAGGAGAGAGCGGACAGGGGGGGAGGCAGGGACGTTCGCAGCTGTCGCCTATTGGGAGGTACAGTAGAATTCCGCTTCAAAGCCTGGCATCTCTGATCGCTCGCTTCAAACAGGACATGTCCTGTTTGAAGCGAGCGATCAGAGACAACTGTATGTAAATGATTGTGTTTTGGCGCTTTCAGTATAGTGCCATTCACGCAATAGTGCCATATGTCGAGGTCTGTTCCGGTATAGCACTATTGCGTGGGACCCCCTGTATCTGTAGTACTTCTGTAGTACAGGTACAGTACTTCCAAACTTTATCGGGTTATCATATTGACTGAGGACACACGTTCTTATTGTTGCTCTTTCTGCTTTCGTAAAGGAGGGAAGCTTCCAAAGTCCAACCAACCTTGCATGCGTAGGCGGAAGCGTGATACAGAACAATTTTAAAATTCCTTCCTTCGGACTGCAAGAGGGAATCGTGTTGTTTCGTTGGATTTATATCGGCACTCCTTTACAAGAGCTGAATTTCGTTCCAGCGTGGCGCTCTCAGTAGTTGTAAGCATACCATCTTCGCGAAGTTTGACATGGAAGAGAATAAAATTTCTGATGGCACTCTGACGGCTATAGGCAATCTTACCAGCCCGTGAACCCTCATCCGATTCCTACCATCTCTTTCTAAACATACAGTTTCGCAAAATGAGTACAATACCTTATTTATTCATGTGTTCATGTACAAGATGCAACGAGGGTATGCGCCAGGCGCCACGCCACTACTGGTGTGGTGTTGGAAGAAAGGAAGTGATTTGTATCATGCGAAAACAGGGAACAGACTGTGAATGTGCCAATCACCGCGTCTCCTTAAATACTCCGAACGACTTACTGTTGTCTTCAGAGATTATATCGCGAGCTTTCTTCAGATCAGCGTGGTAAGCACCCATCTTTTCAACCATTTCAGCTTGCTTGCGAGCAAACTCAGTTACCTCTTCGGAAAAGTTCGTTACTTCCCGTACTATCCTCTCTTTAATTGCCTTCTCAGCGACATTTTTTTCGTCCACTTCTTTGCTCAACAAGGCTTGTTCTTGGTCAAATTGCGCCTCCTTTTCAACCAATGCTCGGTCTTCCTCTCCCGTCTGACGATTGACATCCGTGTTTTGGTCCCCAACTCTAGCAAGCTTTTGCTGGACGGAGTTTACTACTCGCGTGAGATGACCCTGGGAATTTCTGATCGTTGTAATCTCCCGTTCATTCTCCTTCAATAAACCTCTCCGCTCATCGATTTCTCGTTGTAACCCTTTCGCCCGTTCTTGCTCCACAAGCACTACATCTATTGCACTTCCAGCCTTTTCGACAGCATGCCCTGTTTTGCTGATAGCATCAGTTCTCATGCGTAGAGTCCGTGTCCGTCGTTCCATACTATTGACATTTTGCTTTTCCGTCGCGAGATTTTCTGCCATCTCATCCATTTCAGCCTTCACCCTATCTGGGGATGATACGACCCGCATTCGATATCGGTCCACCTCTTCCATTTCGGACATCCTCTTCACCTTCACAGCGGCGGCATGCTCTGTCCGCTTCGTGAGAAGGGTTTTGGCGTCACGGGTCCGATCAGTGAGCTCAATTTGCTGCTTGTGCAAAGAACCAAGCTTGATCCCGAGTTCCGCCACATGTTCGCGAAGTGATTCAACTTCTGGCTCATCTTTTGCTCGAGCCTCTTCGATGACTGAGATGTCTCGCTCAAGTTGGATTCTCTCATCGTTGTTTCTCTGCTCTCGCTCCGCCATCTCATCAAAATTTCCAACTACTTCTTCGATCATAGCCAACCGCGTCTGCCGGAACTTGTGTAAATTGATCAAAGCGGAAAGCTCCCAGTGGAAGCGGTTCTTCTCCGGAGCGTGGAGGTCTCGAATGCCAAACTCCTCAAATTGAGCGGCTTCAAACATCTTTTGGCATTGGCGTAGGTAGTTGAACTGCGGGATAGCATCCTCGTACAGTTCCGGGAACTCGACTTGGTCCATGCATCCAAACGAAGGCTGCGCAAAGTCCTCTGGACGTTTCCAATAGATTTCGGAGATGAAAAAGTCTGTGACTCTTCTGATGTCTGCCGGTGCCGGTGCGCGAAACTCTTCTTTTGAGATAGGACAATCGAAGTTGTTCATATTCATGTCATCTTGAATTTCTGAGAAGGGCATGCGTGGAAATTGAAAGGCGCTCTTCGGTTCCGGCGCAGGTTCCAGGCGCTCGCCCGGTCGACCGCGAGGACGTCCGGTGACGGGCATGATAATAAAGAGAAGATGGCGGAAGAAGATATCAAACTCAGAAGTATTGCGGCAAGGTAGGAGAGATGCACAGTTCCCAGGCAGAGCCGCTGGTTGATACTTAGCAGACGAGAAAGGAGGAAATGAACTCCCTCGCTTTTGAACCGTTCAAAATTTTAAATGGCCTGATCGCCAGAACCATCCAATTGCCATGGAGATCGAGCAAAAGAGTATTACACGTGTCATTGCCTGCTTTCGCACGGATGCCTTGGTCGCCTTCCTTTCTACTCTTGTACCTCACAGTCGTGGTTGCTGGTGCAAACAGCTTTGCACCCTGTTGCACCCGATCTGGTAATTTCCGGGTGCACCCACTGTTCCGTCAAGAACAGCATAAATGACTGGTTCGCAAACTACTACAGGAGTCATCTCACAAGAACATCACCCGCCCATGTGCAAGTGTGGACAAGTCGCACGTGTGTATACGGTAATTTGATCGCATCGCAGCTGCGCGTATGCTAGAGCACCACGTCGCCATGACTGGAATTTCGGCAGTAGCTTCACCCATCACTTCCGGTTAACTGAAACAGGCCGCAATGCGTGCTAGCATTCACAGCTGCAGCCCCAGACTGAACGCGAACGCGGAAGAAGACAGAGAAATCCTCCTTCACCCAGCCCTCTCAGCACGAATACTTGTTTGCCCATCTTGTCCCAATGGTTGGGCTCAGGATATCGTTTGAGGCAATTTAACGAATCCGTATAGCAGCTTCCGGCACTTGCTTGTGGTGATCGTCTCGTCGCCGCAGCCGCGTCGTTGCACTACCACGGCATGTTCGTTCGCAATAGGCATGTAAATGCTCGTGGATGCTATCCTCCAACAAGGCAGTGGCAGCATACATTCATGTTCCACAATTTTCTGGGGTTCGACTGCGTTTGTTTCCTTGAAATATCTACAGAAGAAACGTCTCGGCTCTCCGTACAAGCCGCAGATCGTAGATATGGCCTCCGGTTTCGAATACATCGACCTAGTCGTGCTCTAGTGTCTAGAGCTAGCTCTATACTGTACAACGAGCGACTTGCCTTGTATGGGGTCAGGCTTGGATTCAATATGGGGCTAGCTTCTTTTTTTGCAAAAACATATACACTCAGTTGCAACTTTAGAAAGTCATTTTGGACAACATTTCTTCAACGTGCTTGGCCTCGGCAATAACATCTTGCAGAACCCCGAGATAGCAGATGTGAATACACTGAAATACTAAGAATTTAATGGAATTCAAGTTCCAGTTGCTTTTTTAAACGGGCGTTTTGGTCTCGAAGTTATCAATACATACGATTTCAAGGTTGCTCAAAAATGGCTTCTTTTCCAGCGTATCTAAATTGACCGGAAAGGACGTACAGTTTTCACGAAAACGTTTCCTTTCGCATGGCAGTAGTCGAGCGAGGTGGCGAGTGTATCTGTATCCTTCTTATCGAGAAAGCACTAGTCCAAAAGAAAGAAAGAAAAGAAACCTTATATGAGGTCGCTGGTCATCTAGGCAGAAGAGCTGGGGACGACGCGTAATCGGACACCGTATGTTGTGTTCTCACTGTAGATGTATTAAATTGTATAGTTTGTCCTTTCTCTGTTGCCTCTGCTTTCCTTAGAATATTTTCACAATTGCACCAGGTCCCTCAGAGGTACATGAACACGAAAAAGCGATCCTACGATCGACTACAATTGAGTCTACGCGGGTCCCAGTTTGTGGTCCTGAGACAGAGATGCTAATATGACTGTGCTTGTAAGGAACTAGGAAGCTGCTGGTCACGCTGTAGAGGCATGTGCAATGTCAGCGAAACGAACAAGCTGGGATGCTCGTGCAGAACGAATCTGTCTTGCAACTGCAGAGTAGAAGTGCCAAACATCATTCACCTGCTATCTCAGACAGCTCGTTCAACTACAACTAATGAGAAGAGCAAAGATCAGGAACGGAACCATTTGGTCAGCTGAAAATGTCGCAAAAAGAATATGTGATTCCCGAAAAACTATCCGACGCAGCTCACTGGTAGAGCGGCCGGTAACGATGAAAGGAAAAGTCGGTATTGCGCCCCTTGGAAGTGCATCTCCGCATGGTATAGCGGGTACACGCGATCGCTGCTGCGATAAGCGCTTGACGGGTTATACTCGTGCCTCGCGAGTGTGGGATCCATCGCTCTACGTCGACTTGCGACAATACGACTCTAGTTTCTACCTATGCGAAAGCTTAGTGTCGGAGGGCATCAAACGATGGAATGTCTGCGACTGCGGATATGGACCTTCTGTTGCAAACATGTAGTCCGTTTGTGACCCCCGGCTGGAGAATAGCTGCATGGCGCCCGATTGCCTGTTGTCCTGCTGGCTGCCGATGGCTTTGATGGGCAAGTACTGCCACATGTCTGCCATGAGATGAGGATATCGGCAGACCTTAAGTGGGAGTACAAGGCGACCATCGCAAGGGCCGGTGAAAGGCTCAATGTACCGTGATCCCTGAACACCGACGGCGCCTGTCGCCCAGGGTGTGTGGCTCCTTTAAATACTGTTTCCATCCAAGACTACTTCGTGTAATGCACCGGCTACCATAGCATCATTACTGTGCAGGCTGTCGTGTCCACGTGGAGAACAGAGCGCATTTGGGAAATCACACTTTACAGCCCAAATCCAGTTTTCGATCTCAAACAATCTCACCGCATCGGTCCGCCTTAACCTTCTACTTGGTCCCCCCGCCTGCCCCGGCGCCTTCGCAGACGCACATCCCTTCCGGGAAAACTCCATCCACTCGCCTTTCCTTCTACATCTCTACCATCGTTTTCATCACGCGCATGCCTCAGCTGCGCGGCCCAAAAGCCCTGCTGCTGCTTGCTCTCGTCCTCTCCGTCCCGGGGCGCTGGGGCGGCACCCCAGTCGTTGTGTGCGCCCCCCGCCTACTGCGGCTCTAAATCGAACACCTCGGTCGTCACCGACGTCCTTTAATTGCGCGCCGCGTGCACTGAAGGCCGCCTGGTATGTCCGTCAAATCAACCACGCCCCGAGGAGCACATGGATATCGGCCCTCGTCCTCTTTTATGCTCGTCGCGGCGCGCGCAATACGGGAGGACACATCGGGATTGTAGGCGTCTTGCACAACGCTTGCGCGGCGGTGCGAATGCTGAGGGAAACCTTTTGGCTATTGGGACATATGTGAGGGACGCGGGTATGGGCATTCAGGGTTTTGTGGATGCCGTTCTCAATAGAGATGACGTGCACGGCGCCGGGGAGAGTGATGCCGCCAAAAAGGAGAGGATCATCTGCGAGTTGCGAGGTGACAACTCTGTCGAAGGGGCTCATGGGGGAGAGACTAGCAGTCCTGCCCAGTTTAGGGGTGATGCTGATCGCGCCGACGACACCGTTGCGAACCGGCAAATGCACGGAGCGAGGGCGAAGCGCCGGCGGATGAAAAGCCCCGTGATACCAGTCGTGTGGCTGCGGAATCGTTTTTCCTCGTCGGTGCGAGCAGGGACCTGTCCGTGGCAGCTGACATTGCCGCCATGAAGGGCTGCGTTGCTGTGCTGGCATAGGGCAAGTGTGACATTGTGCAAAGGTCATTCATATACAGGACGCAGGCGTCGTCGGGGCCATCGGAATCAGTTGTGGGCTTTATGGCACGGTGGCCAACATGACGCTCAATGGAGCCAAGAAACGCTTCGCAGAGACTACCATTCCGGGCGCCATAGTAAGCTACAACGGCTGGAATGCCATCGTCCCGTGCAGAAACGATACCAATGCCATTTTCAGGGTCAAAGGCGAAGTTTAATTCGAGATCGATTCCCGACGCGATGCCCTGATGTGCACATATCCGATGGGATAGAGAAAATTTCTTACGTGCCCCCTTTTATTTGAGAATTTTTGTTACGTGCACCTAAGCCCCTTTATATAAGCCCCTTTGCTAGGGGGCGCTACAGTGATGAAAAGGTGAAGAGGGCGTCGTCGGAATGAGTTTGATCAAAGGGAACACGTTCCCTGACAAGCACAGCATCTTGATGGCATCCTTAGCCCTGTGCGCCACCGTGGGCCGATCTCACAAGGTTAAGAAAGTCAGACCCTGGGCGCCTGCGTATAAAGTGCCCCTCCCAGGAGTGCTCATACATTGTCAACGCTCAACCAGACCGCAGGGCAAACAACGGCTTGTGGAAAGTGGGAAAACTCAATCTCACTCACTCCTGCGACGCTATCAAGGGTAAACATAAGCGCAAGCCCCTAACCGAAACCCTTGTAGAGATGGGTGGATCTCCGGTCAAGAACCTTAGTGCAACACTTCAAAGCCAGTATGTTGCTGTTGCTGCCCTTGCCTCTCAAGTCAACATTAACGTGGATTTACAGATGCTGCCAATTGCCAGACAGATGAGCGCGTGGAGAGTTCCGAGTCAGGCAGGTCGGCCGAAGAAATGGCGGAAACAGGGGGTCGCAGCGCCTCAACGAAAGTCGCGTTGCTCTGCTTGTGGTCAAGTTGGGCACTACACTACGACTTGCGAAGCCCCAGACACTGTGTACCTCTACCGGAAAATCGTTCGAGAGGTGAAGAAAGGGGCACGTAACAAAAATTCCCAATTAAAAGGGGCACGTAAGAAATTTTCTCTCCCGACGCGATGCCCTGATGTGCACATATCCCATGGGATATGACGCAACGCGGATTTGAGACTTTGTACGATCATTTTCTGGTACAGTATCGTATGGTATATTGGATGTTAGTGGTGGTTGAATCGGGTTTGAAAGGTCATCAGGGTGTGTGAGAACGTTTGCGGAAAGGGTGGCCTCAGCAACACTAGACCGGATGTTGTAGTTTATGCCTTGCTGGATGGGCAATTCGGCTTGCATTCTCCGCAATGTTGAGGTGGAAGCAAGAGGGCAAGAGAGGCGGGGCATTCGCCAGGGAGGGCGCACTACCTCGGCGGTGCCCCGTCTCTCACTTGGCAGGGCAGTGGGTTGAGTGGCTACCGTGAGATAATACGTCAAGTCAGCTATGTCAAATTGCCATGAGTAAGTGAATATTATTCACTTACTCATGACAATTTGACATAATATTATTATACCCTGTACTCATGGAAATTTGACGGACACAACCTATCAGAAACGCAGGTTATCAAGGTTGTATCTTGTCTGGAGCATGGCTGAGAGGCCGGGATGAAGAGAAGGCATGCGCAGTAAGATAGTGCAGGCGAGATGAGCATTTCCGGTACGGTACGAAGCGCCAATCTGTGCAGGTCAGATGCAGGGGTGCATTTGTGCGGGACGACTTGTCGACGGGGCGGGCTGAATTGCGAGAACGATTTGACCCGGACGTCAGGGGGACGTCAGCAGGGTAAAGTCTGGACCCTATGATCTAGATTACCAATATATGTACATATATATATATATATTTTTTAGAGACGCCTCGGTGTCCTAAGTTCTAGCTACCTGTATGTCTATCGGACCGCTGTTCTCATATGAGGACACTATTCGACCTTTTTTTTCTTGACTTGCACTTCCTCGACAAGAAAGCAAAAAGATACCCACCGCCACCGTACATGACTTCTGATTTGGGGCCAGAAATAACTTTGTGAGAATTGCATGTTCTTCCTGGTCGTTTTTAGATATGTCTGGAAAAGAAGCTATTTTAAACCACCTTAAAACCGGGGAATTTTATTTCTCTAAAACCGCATGTAAAATAACTTTCAAACCAAAACTCCAGTTTAAAAAGCAACTTGGTACTCAGTCTGCATCACATTCTTAATCTTTCTGCCTATTTAAATGAATAGGCAGAAAGATTAAGAATGTTCAAATGAATAGGCAGAAAGATTAAGAATGTTCAAATGAATAGGCAGAAAGATTAAGAAATGTTCAAATGAATAGGCAGAAAGATTAAGAATGTGATGCTTTGAAAAGCTGCTATCCCAGTGTTTTTGCAAGATGTTATTGCCGAAAACAAGACAACAAGTGCGTTAAGGAAATAGTGTCCAGGATAACTTTTTAAATGTTCAATTTAATTTATATTTTTTTGCAATAAAAGAGTTGCGAAAATTAAATTTATATTGATTGGCAAACCTAACACCCGGCGTGCATCTTAGCCGACTTAGCTCAGTTGGGAGAGCGCAAGACTGAAGTTCTTGAGGTCCCCAGTTCGATCCTGGGGGTCGGCATCGTTTTAGACTCGCTGCGATTTTCCCATTTTTTTCACTCTGGCGTGAACGGGTGACAAGACTAAGAAGATACCCGGGAATGTCGGAAGACACTGCGCTTTTGGGTGGTGCCTGCTAAAACTGGAACTTCATTTTGTTGGGACGAGCAAGAGATGCATCTTCCTTCTCGGTCTATTTACCTCCGGCGCTGGGTGGCTTGTGTCTTCTAAGATATGACTGTTTGAAATCTGAAGTATACAGATGATATCAGAATATCTCCACGTCTTACCGCAATACACATTTTACAGTACATTTTTTTAACGTGACCTGTGGTTGTCAGGACTCGCCCCTTGAATGCAGGATGGGCGTCAACGAGAAGTTTGCTCGGCTTTCCATCATAAATCAAAACACGGAAGACCTCGCAGCGACAAAATCGGATTACGTGACTGGCTCATCGTGTCCGGTAAACTCTCGTTTTTTTTTTTTTTTTTAAAAAATTGCACCACAGTCTCTCATTGACTAGAACCAATCGGTGGGGCAGGTCAGGATTTTGATATTAGGCCCCAGTCGTTAAGGTACCATGTTTTCTGTGACATTCGACATTTTAATTGAAAAAGATACACTTCATCGTTTTTCTGGCAGTACATCGTTTTTCGCTGCTGCCAATGAAGCTCACCTACTGAAAGCTGTTGGGAAGTTTATCAAAAACAGCTCTATTGGTGCTCACTGTAAACAAATAGTCGCTTGGTTTGGTTCCAACTATCGGAGCTGAAACGAAGTGCTTTTCTATATTTTTGGAGCTATTCTATTGCTCGTGGGTGCAGGTCAGCTCCGAGACTCCTGTATGTTAAAAGAGGCCCCCATGCAGCCACAAAATGGTTCACGGATCTCATTGTGATTCGGTGTCTACACGCCAACGAACGGCGTCTGCTGCGTCTTGCGCCGGGCCGGTAGGTTTTCTGCGCAGCCCCGTATGCTCTCAGCGCGAAAAAAGTGAGATGCTAGGGGACAGAAATATGACAGCACGCCCCGGCTGAGAGACTTCGTAGGGGGGAACCAGTCCTGCCTAGCCAAAATCTCGTGCTGTTCTTGCCAGCACATTTGCAATCTTGTTCAGTAAAATTGCAACACGTGTTATTTCGATCCAATCGTGTGCATTTGATTTATACATCCAATGAAAAGCCCACATCCGTCCTCAGACCATATCTCCAACAACTTGATCTCATGGCCTCGCGTCTTCCTATCCGCAAATTATCCCTAAGCACAGGGGACCATGGCACTTACGCGTGGAAAATGCACGCGCCTGAGTGAAATAATCAACGCCTTTCTTGAGATACTGGCGCCACCTTTACCAAAATCCCAAACGCTGTGGAAGGAACAACGTGCATGTCGTTCCTGCCCTGTACCCCCTCTCTTCTCCATCCTTGTCCGTTCTGTCTCCCTCCCAGACCCTTCCCTGCTCCCTCCAAAGCTCTCTGTTCACCCCAAGGTTTTTTTTGGCCCCCAGTACATACGCCATGACGCTTCAAAAAGCCTCCTGTTCTTATACCGCTCATCTCATAGGCTACAGCCCATGTGCGCAACAGCAACCTAGACCCCCCGCCTCCGGAGGTCAGATACCCAACCTCCTATGCGTTTACACTCCTTACTGCTGCTCTTCCAAATCACCTCCCCCCTCCCCCTACCCACCTTCCCAACATCTCGAACTTCCATTCCTCACCTCATTTCCCCTCCTCATATTCCTTCTTGTCTTGCCCTCCCGTTTTCTCTACTACGTAACACCTTCTTCCAGACGAGACCCCCCTCGCGTCTCGTCTCTCGTCTCTCGTTCTTCCTTCTTCCTGAAGGCCCGACCCTAGCTCGGGCCTCCTGTTGCGTCTACATGCGGCATGCCCTTGTCTGAAACCGCTTCCCAGCTCCACCCAACGCTAGCATTCTCTCTGACCCCCGCCTTCCAGAACCGACCCTCCAACACCGACTTTCCCCCTTCTGCCGTCCCAGAATCTGTTTTCGGCTGGCCTGCTGTCTTCTCCGCTGTACAAGTATGTATCCCTTGTTTTCAACGAGGACGGTACCCGGCGTGTCTGAGTTTGCTGACCAGCCTTACTAACTATTTTTTTCTTCCACGTCATGACGTGCTGCTCTTACTGTTTTCCTTTAGTCTGTTCTGGCCTCGGTGCCGATTTTCAGCAGGATTCCTCGTTTTGGAAGGTCTCGGCGCCCTGGACGCAAAGTTGCAGTTTCTTACGCTTCAAGCCCGTCTATGTCTTTGACTCACGCGCCCGTCGACCAGTCTAACTCTGCTGTCATAGCCATGGGGTCTCAGCCATCTACTGACATCTCCATGATTCCAGTAACGTCAAACACCCAGCAAAGTGGTGAAAACGCTCCTTCTACCTTAGCGACACATACCATATTCCCCGTGTCCAAGGGTAACACAGAGAAGTTGATCCTCACTTCGCTTCCAGATGAGCTTATAGCCATGTGTTATTCAGACCTCAGTGCAGCTGACTTGGTGGCCCTGGAGCATGTGTCTCGTCGTCTGCGCCAGCTCATCGCCTACGACTCTGTCTGCTGGAAGCGTTGTACAGAGACCCGCTGGGGTCATTTATCTGCTAACTCCGCTATCTTACCGTCGGCCGCTAGGCATGCTGGTACCTGGAAGAGGCTGTATTCTGAGAAGGCTAAAACTGATGCAGACCACACTCCGTGGTTGACTCTGTGCGGCAGCGAGACGTTGGCTGTTCTTGACATCATCAAGGGTGCGACCACGCAAGTCCCGATGCCAGTATACTGGCCTATGAGCACGGATATGGACATCGCCGTGCCGAGTTCTCCGCCAAAGGACAGTGTGGTACCGATGTCGACTTCGTCTCCAGTCAGCGTGATGCCCAGCAACCCTGCCGTTTCTTGCCTTAGCGTAGTGCTTCTGATCGACGCTAGTTCGAGCGTGACCGATGACGATTTCGAGACGATGAAGTCATTCTCGCTCGCGCTCGTTGAGGACCTTCGAGTTTCGCATCCTGAGGCGTGTGTGTCCGTAGTGCAGTTCAACCAGCACCCCAAGGTTGAAGTCGCGCTAACAAACGTTTGCAAGTCCCGACTGTCCAGCTCGATTGAGAACATGGAGCAGATGATGGGCAGCACCGATATCGCGGCTCCGATCCGTAGGGCTCGAAAGATACTTTCTGAGGATGATGTGCGTCCCGGAGACCGAGCAATTGTCCTTCTTACGGACGGGCAAACGCACGCTGATGAGCTACAGGAATCCGAGCGAGAATCCAGAAAGGCCTTCGAGGAGGTGGGGGCACGGATGTACACGTTGGGAGTGGGACGAGATATCGATGAGGTGGGGCTGGGCAGAGTGGCGGCAGGCTCAGAGGGCGGCGTATATGTGACGCTTCGACGTCTTGTATCATCCAAGTAATGCGTTTAGTAATGGCTACTCTCCCGTGACGGGAATCGAAAAAAGGGCCTCGTCGAGGGCACCTCATTTCCCTACTCCTTCAATTTCTAGTGTTTGATAATGCTGTTGATGTATCTTGGTGTTACCGCCATTCTTAGAACAAATAAAAGTAGACGCAGGTCTATCCTTCGTGCGGTGCGCAACTTGCAGTGGCTCACCTCTCAAAAATCCGCATCCCTCCAGCCGACAAGGCTCGCCCCTGCCTACTCACGCTTGCCTCTGGTCCTCATGCCCGACGCCGGCAGCGACGGCGCTGCCGAAGCCGCACAGCGCGGCGGTGGCGAGTGCCATCCTGGGGGGCACGGCGGCGCGGGCGGCGATGAAGGAGCCCGCAGCGGCGCCGGCCGTGCCGGCGGCGAGGGCGGGGTGGCGCGGGCGCGACGTCGTCATGGCGCAGTACACGCCGGAGAAGATGGCGAGGAAGGCGGAAAAGTTGAGGGCGTTGCGCGCCATGGCGACGCGCACGGCGCGCCGCCGCGCCGCCGCGTCCGCGAACGGCTGCGACGACGTCGAGATGTAGCCCCACAGAGCGCCCGCGCACACGCCGCGCACCGTGCCGTCGACGGCACGCGCGGAGCAGGTCGTCTCCATGCGGCGCGCAGGTGGGCGAGGCGAGGCGAGAGGGTTGAATGGAGTCGCTGGGGTGGGAGGGGCGGGGTGCGGGGAGAAGAGCGGCAATGACGTGGGGGGGAAGCGCTATATCAGATATGCGCGTCCAATGGGGCAGCAACACGGCGTGGGATCACGGACGCTTGGGGCGGTATGTCGTTCGTAGAAATTAAGCATGAGTAACGTTATTCGGGTGTTGGGGCGGGATGGACATCAGGATGGTCTCAACGGCGGCATCATCGTCTTCGCGGACACAGACAGGGTAAGCGACGCAAACGCCAGCCTTGCACCAGGCTACCGCCCTCGAGCATTGTTAACCATACGTTCCTTGGCAAGGCGCGTCCAGTCGCAGGCACCTCTCACCACGCTATCCAGAGATGCACCAGGATAAGACGCCTTCTTTAGAACCCAAAAAGTTTTACAACCACGACGCTCCCCTATGCGAGGCGCGCACTGCCCCCACATAGCTACGCTCTACGCTATCTCATGTCTTGCATTCCTTAACCATAAAGCAAGAGTTATTCTCACATATCTTGTTTTGAAAGCAAACCTTCTGCCTGCGCGGCTGCCTCGGCCGTCTCCTCCTTCCAAAGCCGCCCGAGTCACCAAAGCCCCCAAAGCCGCCTCCGCTACCAAAGCCGCCTCCGAACATATCGTGGAACATGCCCGGGTCGATGTCCATACGGAAGCCGCCTCCGCCAAAGCCGTGATGGAAGCCTCCGGCTCCACCGGGTCCGCCGCCACCACCGCCGCCGTTCTGCAGGCCTTCTTCCCCGTAGGCGTCGTACGTCTGGCGTTTGCGGTCGTCAGCTAGGACCTCGTATGCTTGCGAGATGTCCTTGAATTTTTGCTCCATTTTGGCGTCGCCCGGGTGCTTGTCGGGGTGGTAGAGCCGCGCCAGACGACGGTACGACTTCTTTATCACGGAGACGGGGGCGTCGCGTGGGACGTCTAGAAGGCTGTAGTAGTCGCGGGCGTGAGTGAGGGTTAGCAGAGTTAAGAGTAGCACGGGTGGGAGAAAGCGGGGCTGTCGCATGACGGCGGGGAAGGGAGGGTCACGGGGGGGGGGGGGGGGGGGGGGGGTTGGAGCTAAAGGGGGTTCACACTGGTGGTGGGAAAGAAAAAAAAGGGGGGGGGGCCGGGTTTTGGGGG